TGGTGGCAGCAGTTGTATCACCAGCCCTTTGCCCCAGCTTTGGTGGTAGATGTGTGCAGAGAGTCTGTAGGACAACCCCACGTGTTCTCCTGGAGCTCCACAAATATGTCCTTTCCCTTTACCCATGGCAACAGAGCCATGTGTCACCGTAGTTAAAAGACTATTGGCTGTGGATGAAGCAAAGATCACAGCATTTAGCTATAACTCTCAAACAAAACCCTAAAAAAAAGTCCTTGGGTCGAGGGTTTTTTTGCAGGTTGTTGCTCTTTGCTAGGGCTAAGACAGGCCACTGGCAAACATCATTCCAAACACAATGGCACTTCAGAGAACTGTGTTTTACTTTGGTTGCTCTTTTCTGTTTTGTCCTCTCTCCATTTTGTGACCAACCATACAGTATAAACACGTATCAAAGTGTGTTCTTGGAGAACTGTGGCTGACTCTAGATTTCAAAGTATGTCACAACCACTTATGCCATACTAGTGTGGGGATATCCTCTCCCGGCGGTCTTGTCTTTGAGGTGTTCATCATGTAAGAAGCAGCTAGGGGAATAATTCATGTTTGTTTAACCCTATGTTTTGTCACGTCTGAAGTGCCAAATCCTTCAGTGTGTTTATCTCCTCTCTCCAGAAATTCTGTGCTGTCATAAACTGAGAATTGCAACATTTTGCAAAGCACCCACTCGCTGAGTTCTCCGCTTTCCTCCACCAGCTACATCCCAGACAGCAACTCCTGCAATATGTTCCTTTCTTGCAGCTTTATTAAAGCTGTTACTTGCTACTTACTTTTTTTTGGCAAAGCCTTGTTTAAATCACACTTCTGTCAATTACACAATTTAAGTTATAATGCATATCAAGTACGGAAAATTAACTCTCCATTTGTCAGATTTTTGGAGTAGGGTCTTAATATCCCCTTGTTCCCATGTTAGGAAAAGTTCCATGTGACCATTAAGGCCCATATGGTCCTTTTAGCATCTTCACAAAACTGTCATCGTGCTTTTCAGCTATCAGTGGGACCCTTTTCCTCCTAGGGGGTCTCAAAAACAAAGTGCCCAGCCCACCCACAAACATTATTTGGATTTGGCTTTGTTGAGCCATTTGCAGTGACATCCACTATTTGCTAGTTCATTCCCAGACGCTGCCCATGTCCAAATAATGCTGATTCTTCCTCTTTAGTGCTGGTTTGCTTGACTTCATTTCCGCTGCCTGACATTTCTTGTGGAGGATGTTTGGGTGGTGCAGAGCAGGATGCTGCAGGGCTGCTCTGCTGCAGTCCTGATGCGCGGCCGGGCTGCCAGGGGGCATCCTGCAGCCTTGGCAACAAGCACCTCTGTGATGTTCTGTTCCTTAAAAGGGCTCCGTGCCAGCTGCAAAGGGCAGCCCCAGGGCGTGCTGCCAGCCTGGGTGTGAGCAGGATATGGGCGCAGTCCTGGCTGCCCCATTGCCCTTAGCTCTGCCCCCTGGTGCAACGTGGATGCTCTCGGGAGACAGCCGCTTGTTCGTTCTTATGACGCACGTTGAAGAGAAATCAGTGAATTTCACTGGAAAGGGGGTGGTAAGGAATGGAGCTGGAGGTACCTGCTGAGAGAATGTGCTCGGAGAAGGAGCTAAATGACTAAAGATACAGTCTAAGGGACCAAAGATGGAGGAGCAGCCTTAAAGGGGGTGTTAAAGACCTTTTCTCCCTTCCCATCCTGTGGTTCTCATCGCTGTGCTGTTTTCTGTGCCTAGGATTCCCAAAGCAGGTACCACGTGGGCATTTGCTACGAGAAGGGCCTCGGAGTGCAGCGGGACCTGGCCGAGGCGCTGAGGCACTATCGACAGGCAGCTGCTGCGGGGAGCAGGGACGCTCAGCAGAGAGCACGAGCAGTGGAACAGGAGCTGGAAGGTACCACAGGCAGCGGGGGACAGGGCATGTGGGCCAGCATCGTGTGCCCAAAAGAGTGGGGCCATACGGCCAGAGGAAGGACAGCACAAGACTGTGGCAAAAAGGAGTCTTTTTTAGCTGAAGGGGTGGCTGGGAGTGCTTTTTCTTTCTCCTTTTCACTTCTTACCAGCTATTTCCAGTCAAGCTAAAGTGGCAATGCCATTCCCACAGTATGGTGCTCCATTCATATCTTGCTTTTAATATGTTTTCAGATATGGAAAGAAAGCTTTCCTCGCCTTCTGGATTAAGAAGAGCATCTTCCTCTAGTCCTTGTTTCTGGGCTATGGAGCACTTGGCTGCGGGTCTCCAAGCTTCTCAGACAAGACAATCTGCCCTTACCCTGCCCCACTCTTGGAGCGCAGACAGACTCCACGTGATGACACTCAGAAGTGCAGGATGGAGCTATTCCCTGGAAAACAAGGCAAGTTCACCACAACTGCAGAATTTGGAGCCCCAGACAGTGCTGTTATTAGAGCTGTTACTAGTGAGTGAAATGGCAGTGAGAAGGCAAAAAGAAAGGTGGACCTTCTCAGTCTACATGGCATTGGCAGCAGGCTAGTAGTGAATGGAAAGAGAAAGCTTTTTGTTAGTGGAGCAGGAGCAATTTTGAAACACAGTGGTTCTCAAAATAAATCTTGCGGTACCTCCCATCCAGCCCCACAGCCCGACCCTCTGCCTGTAAACACAGAGACTCTCCCTGTGTTCCTGCACTTCCATCCAGAATTACTCCAACCCACCCTTTGCCCTGGTGACATGATTCAGTGTAATCATTCCAATGCATAATAATTCCATAATTGCAAATAGGTCCCCCACAGGGGTTTACAGGCTTATGGTGGACCTTACTTGCACCTTCTCCTGCTCCAAGGCAGTTTGATCTTGCTTAGGTCTTGGTGTTGCCACAGTGGTTCTGCTGCCAGCACAGTCTGGGTCTCTATATATGGATGTAGCAAATTATTCTGCTTTAAAACCTTATTCAAGAGGTAAAAGCAAAAGGGTGGATTCTTATTATTAGAGCCAAGGAGGTGTTTTTGTGGGATATGGCTTATCGGTCCACGTGCATTGGTGAAAGTAATGGATGTTATCAGCCATCCTGCATCTTCGTCAGTGCCCTTCAGCCAGCAGTTATTAATCCTTCAGGCTTGACACTACGCTGCTGCCATGGGTACACTGCAGTCCCCTTCAGTCACAGTGAGCAAAGTTCACTTCAAAATTTTCTTGTACCTCTTTGCTAAGCAAACCAGCTTATTCCCACTGACGTGGACAAGCTGGTGCAGTAATGTTATTTTTCCCTAGTGAAGCCGAACCCAGCAGAGGCCATTTGCCCCCACAAGCCTAAACTGCTTCAAGGGCACTTGTGCAAACTGTCCCAACACCCTGTAGCCTGCTGCTCTGCTGCTTTGTGTAGATGAGGCTCTGGAAAACAAAGGCCATGGCCTCATCCTGAACTTGCCGTGGTCTCCATTCAGCAAGGGAAGGGCCCGGCCCTGCCTCAGCACAGCTGACAGCTCCAGCTCCTCCTTACAGTCTGCTCTCTCCTACTGTACAGGCCAGGCTTGCTTCGCCCATTTCCTTTGCCAGGCAGGATGCAATTAGCAGGAAATTCCTCGGGTGGGTTTCCTATCCTGCGATAATCCGCGGCGTGCTTACGCACCCGGTAGGACAGGACAGGGGCAAGGGGTGGGAAGGGGGGGCCGAAAGCCCTTTGCAGAACCAGGAAACTAGACCAAGAGAGAGGAATTCATCTCCTTTCAAATTTGCTGCTTATAGGGTATTTTTGGATCAAGGTTGTCCTTTGACAGGGACATCAAAGTAAACTCCAGAGGAAGATGCGAGGCTGTGCCGTGTGTTTGTGCTCCGTGTGTATTCCCAAGGGGCAGGAGAACCCCATAGGGCTGCATTTCCTCATAGCCACAGATAGGCCTCCCTCCCGCTTTGCAGGGCTGCATCTCAGTTAGGATTTGGTTCTCTGCCATTGCTTTGGTACAAAAAGCTGAGCTGCCTGTGCAACAAAGCACCCAGACATTTCTGTGAGCAGCATGGCAGTGCAGACAGACTGGGATCAACCCATCACTGTAGTTTATAGGTAGGGATGGGCTCATGTGTGAAGCACTTTGGGAGGCTCCAGCCATAATATTGGATATTTGGATTATTAAAGAGCCCATCTGGGAGGACCTTACTCTGTTTTTGCCATTTGGTCTCAGAGAGCAGCATAGACATGCACCGTGGTGGTTTTTCACACTCCTTTTGGCCTGAATTTCGTGGTCAACCAGCAAGCAACGGTGCTGAGCAGTGCTGGGAGTGGAGGCGAAGGTTTTACCGTCGCTCCCCTCCCCGTTACAGCCACCAGCCACTTTGCCAGGGTGCTCCATGTTCGTTCTCGTGCTTCGTGTCACAGTCGGAAGGCAAAAACCCTGGGATGGAAGCAGAGCCCTGTATGTGTATGATCCAGAAGGACTTGCCTGTAGTCTCCTTCTCCTACAGCTCCGCTGTTCACCCCATACACATCCCCTACACACACTGTGTGAGCCTACAGCTCTATGCCAGATACTTACGCCACTGTTGTCTTTCTGTTCTCTGAGTACAGATCCCCACGGTTAACAACACCTCTTACTCCTCCCTCTATTACTAATATGTGAAAATTAATTTTTCAGCATGTGCTGCAGTCCCAAAAGCTGCAGCTCATATTCAGATCAAAGTGGAAAACAGTAACATGGACAAAGCTTGTGACTGAATATTTAAAGACTGTTGTGACTGAATATTTAAAGACCGTTTTCACTTTTTCCCAGATTACCTTGATAGACTCCATCCATCTGCCATCTGCCCTTGGGGAAAGGGAATGATTTGTAATTCAGGGACCTCAAAAGAGAGCATGGAGAAGGAAATTGTACGCACTTAGTGCAGCCCATATGACAGATTCCAAAACAGAAGTGCTGAATTTGGAGTGTTTGACAAAAAGCAGAATTCACAGCAGCAGAACCACAAAGCCAAAATGCTCATTGTAAGAAAATATGCAGGTCTGTCCTTTCTGCATCGCGATTTCAGGCTTCCTGCAGATACATCATCACATCAGTTAGATGGGACTTCATCCAGGAGATGTTAGTGTTAGGAAAAAAACAAACCAACCAACCATTTTTATTTTAAATAATAGCTGAGATCCTTTTGTCCAATTGTGCAGCATGTTGCAAAGTCCATGGCTGGTAGCTGGTACAGTATCTGTGGTGCCCTGTCTATGATCACGTGGATATGTCTGATTGAGTTGTACTTGTGGACAATCTAGCAACCCCCCTTTCTTAGTCTACCTGCTCTGACTCTTTTGTGACTTGAGTGTGATGGAGAGGGATGAATAAGAAGGAGAGGGAGACAAGAACAGGCAGCTGGAGGAGAGCTAAAGAAGGTGAAATCAGTCATGGAGGAATTTGTTGAGGCTTGGCAAAGGGAGAAACATGCCTGTCGTGATCAGGCTAGATGTGGATCTTGCTGCGATTCTGTTGAACCTGTTACCACACACACTCTTGCACCCTAAATGCAGAAGAGCTCGGTTTGACTCTCCTGTCCTCCTCCCAGCTGCCAGGCTGCCTACAGAACAGGAGCGCCCTCATCCAGGCCGAGGTTCCTCCCACGTGCTGACAGCTGCCGCAGAAGCCCGGAGCCCGTCTCGCTGTGGACTTGGACCTTCTGGGATAAAATCATCTCGAAGAGGGTGCTCATTTCTGAAAGGAAAGTGCTGGCCAGTCTGCTCCCAGCGGCGCTCGAGTCGGACTCTGTAACTTTGCCAAACGTCTCAAAGGTCCTTGGTTTCTCCTGCCTTGCAGCTTCCTGGTCCTGAGGTGAATGAGGAGAATCAGGGGAGAAGACGTTGTCCTTGTAACTGCTGCCGAGCGGCAGGGAGAGCCGAGCCACCCACTCGGGGGCTGCAGCCGTCAGCCTCTTGAGGGCCAGCTCTGGAGGGAGTGAAAACGGGAGCTGTGGGTGAGACGTGCAGCAGGGGAGGGCAGAAGAGGCCACAATGGGAGGCGAGGAGGCTCGCTGAGACCAAGGGTGAGAGGAGAAATTGTAGGCGAGTCTAAGGATAAGCTACCAGGGACATTATTCACACCGGCAGCTTTAAAAACAAATTGATTTAAAAATCCTGTGATTTTTTTTTTAATATAATAACTGTTAGGATCACTGTGCTTTCTCATTTATAGTGGTTTCAAGTGGCACTTCA